GTTTAATTTGCGCTTCAATATAATTCTTCATGCAAAATTTTGCCCTTACTATTACAGCATACCGAATATCTAAAAGTTTTTTTGACACTGAATTGAGCAGAATGTCTCATCTGAGAAATGATCCATGTAATTTGAAACGTCTATTCTGTGTATCCGTACATAATTTTATATTCATGAATTTTTAACTTTCAAATTGTTTTCGATAACTGCGGCTTTACAGGCAGAAAAATCACGAATCTTACTGATTAGGAATGCTTTATTGAAATGAAATGTACACCAATGTCATCGGACATATTATTTCGAACGCAGTCAAAATTGCAACATCGAAATATAAATTTTATGTCAATTATTCCTGAATTCATTGTCGATCTCTTCTCCTGCGTTTATTAATACGTTCTTTTTTATCAATGCATTCCTTTGCTGCTTTATCAGACTGGCGCGTTTTGGGAGTCACATTTGGATAGCGACACCAAGTTGGTTCATCTGACTGCGCAGTAATGGTGGTCAGAGCTTTTGTGGTTGTCTCCTCCGTAGCATTGGTGACCGGCAGTTCCGTTGAACTTGGGCTTTCTGAAAAACATTATGTTACAGCAATAAAACTTGTCATTTAAAGGTGAACGGCTTTCAGACAATTTACTGTTTGTCATCGCTCTGTGAGTATTCAGCCTAGCAGAAATGGGCCAGTACTCTGAAAAATCATTTTAACTGCATCTTTCGAATAGTGTACAAAATTTGAATAATTCTTGTTATTGCTTAGACATAAACTGCTTTAGTGTTTTGTAAATTGGTGGGTGGGAGCAATAAAATTCATGTTATTTTTTAACGGCAATATTGATGAATACATAAATAATTATTTAGATTTTCAGTACTAATAAATTTAAAATTTACCTTGTGCATGGGAAGTCATATGTTCTATAATAACTTTGACAATCACACAATGTAGAAAGTTTGTTTAAAACAGTTAAAGTAAACAGGTTATGCCTTTTTACCTGTATTTTAATAAAACTCTAATTTGGTTGCTGAAAATCGTTTTAAACTTCTTG